ATTATTACATAAATATGCACACAATGCACAGAAGGAAGAAGAAAACAAACACAGGTACCACCAGTGCTTATGGTTGCTTAGTGCTATTAATACGTTTGTGTGGGTGGGGAGAATCAAACAGCATTGAAAGAATGGGAATGTATGCTGATTAATGCCACCCAGACCACTGAAACACTTAGTGCAGGGGTAGGCAACCTTTTTGAGCTGGGGGCTGGGTTGCTGTCCCTCAGACAATTGGGGGGCCGAAGCACCAAAAATAAATAAATAAATAAAAATATTTGTTTTAAAAAATTAAAAATTAAAAAAATATGCATGCACTCTCTCTCAGCCCCAGAAAAGCCATGGCAAAACCCCTGTAGAGATTTTGCCAAGAAAACCCCAAGAACAAGTAATAACAACAATAATCAATATCATCATGGCGGGCGGTGGCAGCAGCAGCGGCAGGACCGGCCTAGGGCCAGTCCAAAGGCCTCGGGGGGCTGCATCCGGCCCCCGGGCCTTAGGTTGCCTACCCCTGACTTAGTGGCTCTGAATAAGGGATAAAAGCCAGTGTGGCATAGTGGTTTGTGTGGACTACGACTCTGGAAACCAGGGTTCGATTCCCAGCTCAGCCATGAAGCCCACTGGGTGACCTTGGGCAAGTCACACACTCTCTCGGCCTTAGGGGAAGGCAATGGCAAGCCTCCTCTGAACAAACCTTGCCAAGGAATCCCCACTCTTAGTCTCCATAAGTCAGAAAAGACTTGAAAGCGCACAACAGCAGCTTTGACTGTTGGGAAACATCAGAAGTGGCAGGTGAGCCAGACCATACAGTCCCATGCCCCCTCCCCATGTACAGTATTATTCATTCTAATAATTAGGCTTGAGTGGAAACAGGTGGAAATGCTCATGGTTTTGAATATACTTTTGCAGTTATCAAGTTTTTATATCACTTAAGGTTGTCAAACACTTGGTGAATTTTGTATTATAGATGTCAATGTATCTTAATGCACGGTGCATTGAAACCCTACATGAATAAATTATTTACCATAGTTATTGCTAACTAATGCTCAATAGATCCATGGGGCTTCATTGTGCCTAACTTTAGATTTGCGTTATGTCAACACTAGGGCAAAACTACTCCACAGACCATTTTATTTTCTATTGCCACTCCTCCTACTTGATAGATTTGTTTTCTGCTTTATTTGGTCTGTATGACAAAAATCCATTACAAACAGCTGTCATATGGATCTACTACTAGCCTAACTTGACTTTTTGTATTTTTGCAACAGGGAATATCTGAAATTCAGAAGCAGGTACTTAGCCATACAATTTTTAAAACCTTGGCATGTCTGTGGCTTCACATGTTATTTTTGTTGTTGTTCTTGTTGTTGTTAGCAGCCCTCAAGTCGGTTCCTACTCATGGAGACCCTGTGGATGAGACATCTCCAAGAATCCCTTTTTTAGTTTCCTTGTCTGATCTGTTCAAGAACCCATTTGTTTGTCCTTTTGGCTGTCCATGGTATCCTAAGTACTCTTCTCCAGCACCACACTTCAAATGAGTTGATTTTCTTTCTGTCTGCTTCCTTCACTGTCCAACTTTCGCATGTGTACATGGTAACTGGGAATACAATGGCCTGAATGATTCTGACTTTAGTGCTCAGCTGTATGTCTTTGCTCTTCAGTATCTTTTCCAGTTCTTTCATAGCTGCCCTTCCCATTCCTAGTCGTCTTCTTATTTCTTGACTGCAGTCTCCATTCTGGTCAATGTTTGATCTGAGATATGGGAATAGCTATTTCATTTCCTCATTGAATTTGTGTATTTCTTCTGTGGTCATTATTTTTGTTTTCTTTATGTTCAGCATCAGACCTGCCTTTGCACTTTCATCTCTGACCTTCCTTATTAATTGTCTCAATTCCTAAATGTCTTCTGCTAATAATATTGTGTCGTCTGCATATTTTAGGTTGTTAATGTTATTTTCTCCTATCTTAACTCCTCCTTTTTCTGATTCTAATTCTGCTTTTCTTATGATGTTTTCAGCATATAAGTTAAACAAGTAGGGTGATAGGACGCAGCCTTGCCTGACCTCTTTGCCTGTTGGGAACCACTCTGTTTCCCCAAATTCTGTTCTGATGGTGGCCTCTTGTCCTTGGTACAGATTCCTCATCAGGACTATCAGATGTAGTGGCACTCCCATGTCTTTGAGTGCATTCCATAATTTTTCATGATCTAGTCTATACAATCAAATGCTTTGCTGTAGTCTATGAAACACATACTGATTCTTTTTTTGGAATTCTTTGGTGCACTCCATTAGCCATCATGTATTTGCAATGTGGCCCCTAGTGCCCCTTCCTTTTCTGAATCCTGCTTGCACCTTTGGAATTTCTCTCTCCATGTATGGTTGGAGTCTTTGCTGCAGAATTGTGAGCATCATTTTGCTTATATGTGAGACTAGTGCTACTGTCCTATAGTTGCTGCAGTCTTTTGTATCTCATTTCTTGTGGATTGGTATGTATATCGAGCATTTCCAGTCTGTTGGGCACCGCTTTGTTTTCCATATTTGTTGGCAAATTTCAGTTAGCGCTGAAGTTGCATCTGTCTATAGGCACTGTAGCAGTTCAATTGGGATTTCATCTGTTCCCGGTGATTTATTTTCCCCCAATTCCTTTATTGCAGATTCCACTTCACTTCTTAGAATTTGGGGTTCATCTTCATATGGCTTCTCATTCCAAATATCATTCATTTCCTCATCTCTTTTTTATAACTCTTCTGTGTATTGCCTCCAGTGTCTTTTTATTTCTTCTTGTTCCTGTATTTTCTTTTTTTCTCCATAGAGCATCCCTGCCCTCGGGTTTGAACTTGGCTTTAATTTCTCAGATTTTTGATGGCGGTCTCTTGTTCTTTCCTTTTTGTTGTTGTCTTCTATTTCTCTGCATTGGTCACTGTAGTTTTTCTCCTTATCCCTGCATATTAGACGTTGGACAGTTGTGTTCATACTTCTGGTTTTGTTCCTATCTCCCTTTGCTTTTGCTGTTCTTTCTTTTATTGCATGAAGTGTTTCATCTATCATCCATTGTTTCTTATCTTTCTTTTTGGCCACTGTGTTTTTTTCTTGCATTTGTCCTTAATTATGTCTTCTTTGACTTCTGTCTACAGTTCTTCAGGTTCTCAGTCGATTATACTCAATAGTTCAAATCTGTTTCTTACATTATCCTTGAATTCATCTGAAGTTATTCAGGTCATATTTTGGTATAATTATAGTTTTTGCTTTCTTCATCAGTTTAACTCTGATTTTTGTTATGAGCAGTTCCTGGTCTGGGCCACAATCGGCTCCTGGTCTGGTTTTGGCCACAAGAATAAAGTTTTCCCATCTTCTACTTTATGTAGTCTGTCTGGTTTTTATGTTTATCATCTGGTGATGTCCTGGTGTATAGTCTCCTACCTGGTTGTATGAAGCAGGTATTTGCAATTAATATATTACTGGCCTCACAGATTTCTATCAGAAGCTCTCCTGCTTTGTTTCTTGTTCCTAATCCATATTTTTACCACAGTGCTAAGTTTGTTATGGTTTTATGCCATGGTTATTTGGGAAGAAATTTCCTAGCTGGCTCAGTGGTGGATAAAACACTCATTTTTCCAGGGCTTTTGTCCAAATTAAGATGTTGCAAGCAAGAGCTGCATTTACATCCACAAATAAACTCCTATTAGCAGCCATCGTGGAGTTGTCCAGCCCTGTTAGGGAGAACAGAAGAGGTACAAGAAAATCAAAACAGATGTTTTTAAAATGTTGGCCAGTTTGTTAGAAAGAAAATTTATGAAAGGTTTGTAGCTTGCCTTATTCTACAACCTCAGTCATACATGGTTTCATGCCCTGAAGGTTCATGCTCTAATCTCAGCATTGAAAGAGTGAGCCAAAGAACCAGGAATTACTAAGAAAAGAACAAATACTATGTGCCATGTAAATCATAAATTTGTTCATACTGTCCTAGCTCTTTCCCAGTCCTGCTCCACCCAGCTGAATCATAGCTTTTTGGGGCCTCCGCTAGAGGCCATTCCATCAGCCTGGCTTGGATCAGTTGTCCCTTTGATTTTCACATTGTCCTTTAGAGCTTCACATTGTACAACTGTTCTCTGCAATGACCATTCTACCTGGTTCTTTACCTTGATAACCACATTTTTAAAATATCCTCCTCTTCCTCTTCTTTCATTTTAAGTCCTGTGTCTCTGATTTCAAGTCACTGTTTTGAACTGAAAGTCACTTGAGTGTTCTATTAGGAAAGGAGGTGTATACAATGAAGTGAATAAATATTGACACAAAATTCTTGCTAGTTCCCAATATGACAGTTCATTGAGATTTTTCCCAATCCACCCTCTTCCAATCTCTCCAACACATTTAAAACAAATAAGTACCACACTTCCCATTTCAACCATTCTCCCCACACTACCTCAACCTCCTCACAAATTCATTCCCCTTATACCTCTCCCTTAGCACCCCATAACCTATTAGAGGACAAGCAAAAAGCAGAGTGAAATTAATTCTTAGTTTGAAAAGAACAACAGAGAAATCAGGACTGTGTTTGCATATGTTTAATAGAAACTAAATTTCCTCACACACTTCAGATGATATAGCAACTGTGTGTTTATGAGGTGGGAAGCTCCAAAGCAAGGAGGTCTCTAGCACTCCAAAATATCAAAAACAGTTTTGGAAATGTAACAATTGCACAATACTGTGTAAAAGACCAAACATACTGGCTTTAGCCTTTTGCGTAGAAGGAACAATTAATACAGCCAGTTTGTTCAGTGTGAACAAATTATCATTCCAGTTTATCCCCAAAGGCTTGTTTAAATATCACAACACTACTAGCATAGTAGTCAATCAATAAGAATTGTGCTGTTGTTTATTGTGCTACACTAGCAGAAGTAAAAAAAATCCAGCTATGGTGACATCACTGTTTCTTGCTGATAGCCAGGAAAATTTGAATAAAACCCAGACAGCAGAGACAAATGAACACACACAATTAACCTTACGATTAATCTCATTAATAATAATATTCATCCCATATACAATACCTTTATAGTCTTTGTTTTATATGAAGACCAAGCCTTGGGAGGTAGACAATATTCATATTAAACTAGAGTAAATTCCTCCAAATGTAGCTATAATACTGAATCCCTAGAGTACACCAGCATTCAATTATTTTCTCTACAAGGAATGCATCTTGGAATTCTAAAAAACAAGTAGTGCCTCTAGACTAAACATTTTTCCTTCTCTTACATTAACTTAAGTTTACAGTATATTAGTTGTAACAGTTTGGAAGGTATTACAGTTACAGTTGTATACCAATGTGTCAAGTATAACACATCAGATTGTATCAATCAATACTATGTCCTAGAGACAGAAGAAATCCAACGGATCTTCAATTCCAGCACCACTTCTTGACGTTAAACAAAATATAAACTCTGAGTCCTTAATGCTCACAGAAAAGTTTGTAACTCCTCACAGGTTATCTCAAACTACCCAACTATAAACTTTTTTTTTTTAAATTGCAACAGCATCTTAGAAGGCATGCTGGATTCTGTCCCCTTTATCCCAAGGATGCTCTCAACAGTATTAATTATATTGAATGCAGTATT